GATTACGCTCTGAAAATTTCATTAAGATTGCATGTCTACAAAAAAAGTTATTCATCTTATAAATTGCCTATACTGCAGCGCAGCCCAAGCGCAGTCGCTGCTTACTGCGCAGTTAGCAGAGCGCGGGCTTATGCATGCAGAATGGAGGGTTCAGGGTATCTCCTAGTCGAGCAGTCTCGACTAGAGTCTTCTTACTTGTTTGTTTTTACAAGTCCTGATTTATGTACGTTTGATGGTATGGTAACCTTTATTTATATTACGTGTTAGTCTGTTGCCTATGCATATTTTTTTTTACTTCTGGGAAATTTTCACATGGGATTTCCATCTGAGCCCTGGGTCACTCGCTCGTTATCTTATCAATCGGACACGTTCGGTGGGAGAGTTGTGCAACGATGTCACGCATCTCAGAATTCAACCGTCATATTTAATACAGTGATCTTTTGATAATGGAAAGCGTCACTAATAACACTAACAAGAATTCCATCTTAAATATTAAATATATTTGTCAAAACTTGTCAATAGTATCGTCTTTTATAAGCAATATTTATTTGCCAACTTTCACTATAATTAAAAATACTGTCGTGTAATTGAATGAAATGCGAGTCTAACTTCTAAATTTATATGAATAAAATTGATATTGATTGAAATACTATATGCCTCTAATAATCAATGTAGAGAGCGACAACTGAGCGGGTGTAGTAAAAATGTGGCGCTAACTTAATTGAATACGATTGATTGAACTTAATTTTCAATATGCCTGTTGTTGCACCAGTTCCCAACCCACCTCCCCTGCCCCACACTCATTTATAAAAAGCCAAAGATATTCTCTTTCTTTGCTGATGAACAAGCTTCGCATTCCTTTTTCATTGATTTTGTCCTTATATCAGATCAGCCCTTTGACATCGATAGAGGACTTATATATTTGGGTAATCGTCAATAGAACTACGCGTTCAAAACAGTATTTTCCTCTTCTTATGAATAGCCAGTGGCTATTATCTTATCGATAGTATTAATTGCCAACTAATGCAGGTTTTGCAATTCTTTTCAGACTTTGCCGTTACGCTGCACGACAAGCTTCTGTTTCTCGATAACAAATTCAAAACAATCTCCTCTGCAGCCCACGAATTTGAGGGGATATCAGCGTTGGCTTTTGATGAGGCTGAGGAAGTGATCTATTTTAATGATCAACAGCATCAGAATGGCAGCATATTTTCGTTGCGACGCGATGCTACGGTTGCGCCGCACATTGTGGAGCAGGCAGTGCAACGCATAGGCAACGGTTCCGTATCCGGATTAGCTTTCGATCCGCTAAACCGGAATTTGTTTTGGGCGGACATGCGACAGAGTCGGATTTACTTTGCCAGCGTCGATACATTACACACGGAACCGCCCAAGGTGCTGGTAGATCTGAGCGCCGAAGGTGGGCGACCAGATGGCGTGGCTGTGGATATATGTCGCCGCCAGCTATACTGGACGAACTCGAAGATCAATCATGCTTCCGTAGAACGTATTGGATTGAATGGCACGGGCAGACAAGCGATTATCAAGGAGGATATCGATATGCCACGTGGCATTGTGATCGATCAACAATCGGATCGCATCTTCTGGATCGATGACAAGGTGGGCATATTCTTTGCAATAGAAAGTGCTCGACTAGATGGCAGCGATCGCCAAGTGGTGCTCAAAGACAAGCATCAGAGTCCCATACAACTGGCCATCACAGATGAAACAATCTATTGGACCGACAAGGCGGACAAAGCGGTCTGGAGCTACCCCAAGCCTGATAATAAAAAGCTTGCACCGAATGCTACGGAGCCGATAGTGGAGCCAATAAAGCTAGCCAGCTGGAAGGAGGATGTCTATGGCATAGTCGCACGCACAGGCTTCTATCAACACCTTCAAAAGGATGCCCATTGCGCTAGCGTAGTGAAAAAGGTCAAACAGCGTCTGGACAACAGGCTTAACAATAGAACGCAATCAGGAACCATTGTCGACGATCGCATAGAGGAGTTGGAGCGAGAACATTGCTTGAACGGTGCCACCTATATGACCAAGGGAAACTTCTGCATCTGCCAGGTGGGCTTCAAGGGTGCACGTTGTGAAATATCTGAATGTCATAATTATTGTGTGCATGGCACCTGTGAAATCTCTAGCATGGGTTATCCCAAATGCTATTGCCAAACGGATTTCTATGGCGAACGTTGTGAATATTACAAATGCAATAACCATTGTCTGAACGGTGGCCATTGCACCGTGGATAGGGATAGTGGGGAAATGAGCTGCGATTGCCGGGACAATTTTACGGGCACACGATGCGAGCACAACGAAACGGCCCACTGTGGAAGTTATTGTCAGCATTTGAAAGAACATCCGGAGGCATTTGTGCCATCGCCCTGTGTGGACATGTGAGTAGCTTCATTGGATACATATTAATATTGTACTAAACTAATGTCTTCTACCAGCTGTGAGGAGTTGCGTTTGACCAATGCCACAATTGTCACAGAATACCAATCATCAGCTTTCTGCAGCGATATGCCCAGCTACAGACAAGGCTCATTGATAATTGTACTTGTTGTTGGCGTTGTCTCCAGTCTCGCTCTGGTGGCCGTCATTGTGCACGGTTTCCGTCTCATCCACAAGCCTAAACGCCCACGCATTAAGAAAACCTTTGTGGTGCGCAAACAGGCCCGTTTGAATTCCACTAGCGATACACCTTTAACCAATCGGCCACTAGCCACAGAGCAATGCGAGATTACGATAGAAAACTGTTGTAATATGAATATTTGTGAAACGGTTTGTTTTTCTATAATAATATTACAGTTAATGCTAGTTACTAATGTAATCAATTTCTATAGCCTTGTTTTGATCCTAAACTTGTGGAGCAACAGTTCTCAGGACGCGATAAAAAGTCGCCTTGCGTTAAAGAGGATAAAAAAATACTGATACACAACATGGAAGATGATCTACTGAACTAGATAAACATCTCTAACAATAACGTATAACGTCGTGCATGAAATGAACGGTAGGACGGACGAGCGGTATTCGAGCTTGTAAAGCTGCTGTCGCCGCCGCCTCGAACAGATTAAATACCCGGATCGTCGACGTCTTTGCTCAACCAAAGCTTCTACAAAGACCTAGAAAAAAAAATTAATACTTAATTTTGAGTATGGAAAACGTGTACTTAGAAAACTTTTACAATTAGTCTGGTCTCATTAATTTAATTTTGTGCAAACCATGTTTTTAGACTCGGCTAAGAACTACAGCAATTGTCACTAGAACTACAACAATTGTCAATCATATAGTTTTTAATGTTTTTTTTTTTCTATTAGTCATGAGATGGGTTGAAGGAAATTTTTTATTTGAAGACATTCGACAATGAAAAGATGATTTGAAATGAAACTGATATGAAATGATAAGTCCTACGACTGACACTAGCTTTAAATTAATTACACACAAACACAAATATACACATCCATACATGCATAAACATACATTATGTGCATATTGTACAGATAAAAGCGGCTGATTTCATATACATACATATAATTTCCAATCGCACAAAAAGGCATGATGTGATTCATTGAACGGTTAAACTGTTTGTAAATAATAATATTAATTCCAATAATAGTAAATGAATTTGAATTTGTATCTTTTCGGAAATAGTTCCTTCTGATTTAACATTGTATACACATATATGCATCTTTTTTTGTTTTGTTTTTGTATTTTTAATATGTCATGAGATATGCAACTGCCACTTACATAAACACGGGCATACATACACACATACAACACAACAGATTGCTCGCACCAAGATTGCCTTCGTACTTAAATTAGTGTTTTATTTAAAACAAAGAAGAATAAAATACCAAAAAAAAAATAATAATAATAATGTAACAGAAAAAAAACTGCGATCGGAACTGCGAACGGAAGTTGTATATATGAGTAAGCTAGATATTAGTTATTAATAAGACAAATTGGTTGAATAATAAAAGAGAACGTACCTTAGCAGTTGAAACAACAAATGAAATCCATTTATTATTAAAGTTATTATCACTTAAGTATGAAAAACAAACTGTAATTTTTCTAGCTTCCACATATCTGTGCACACGCGTGCTTAGTCATTTAACCTAGTCACTGTAATGGTAAGATGCTTGTTCTTATTACATTATTTAAAAAACCGATCGGCACGTCCGCCCGACCAAATGTCATCCTCTTTCCATAACGTGCAACATCGATAACAGCACTAAGCAGACAACAGTAAGAAAACATCTCAAACCGATACCACCACTGGTAGATTACAGCACTAAATGTTAATAGGCATCGATAACTTGCAGAGACAGTAGTATCGATGCCACTTAAGTACTTTTCGTCGTATCCATTTTTCTTGACGTCACTCGTTTTCGCAAAATATTAAACTTCAATTTAATTCCTGTATAACTAGCCAAATATACTATAAAAAAGTTTTATTTGTGAACACTAAAAGGATGGTAGGTTTATATTGATTAATGCAGTAATTTCGTTGTGTATTTTGCTTGTTTTGTGAAATTTTCATTTGGCGTGGTCGGCGGCTGCGGCAGCTGCGATGCGTGCGCTGCAAATTGTATTTCGAAGTTAATTCGTCATTTATGTATGTTTATGTGAATTTCCATTATGAAAATCATAGTTGGCTATTTGCTAAAAACTGAACGTATAATTCGGTACAGAACAAGTTACATTTTAAGCCGTCGTACAATTTTCTCCGCGTGTGTATCTACACTTGTATATATTACATGTACATACATATGTATGTACATATATACATATATGCATGTGTGTATAGATAGATATATATGTATGTTTAGGGATTAAACATTTTGCCCTATACGTATATATGTATATCTTTATAGCTATATACTAACGGAGTGACCTTCAATTTCGGTATTTTTGAACTTGCAGGGAAGCAACGATAGAGCCTCCAGATCGCCACGTTCGGATGACCAGCGCGATATCGGCGAAATGCCAGCTACAAAGCGTTCGCGCTCAGACTCGGGTAAGTGTTTCGTCTGGTCGGGGATGCACATAATTCCTATTAAGCATATAAGTATATATCAATTGAGTATATATATATATATTTATGTACGTAAGTTTATCAAAGAGCAAGATAAATATATACATATATATGTAGGTAAATGAAACGCAAGGCAACAAATCAAACAAAAGGAATATATGTATATACAAATATCATTTATTATAATTTTTTGTAAACATATACATTTGCATACACATCTCTCTCTCTCTCTCTCTCTCTCTCTCTTTACTACTACTTCGTTGCATTTAAAGGGCCAGCACAGACGTTATTAAATAATCGGTTTTTCTTTTTGTTCTGCTTAAGTAATTGCAGACTTCATAAACGCACGATGATCTCAAGTGAGGTGAGGTGAGAGTCAAACAAATAACCAATACGAATACGAAACAAATATCGAAACAATCAAGTCAGTCCAAAGAACACGCGCGATACTCGAAACTAATTGCGAATCAACTCGTGCCCACATAATACTATCAATATGTGCCGTCATTATGAGAGAGTGCGAAGCACAAGAACAAAATATCGCCAAATATACCTAATATAATAAATCAACTAATACCTAAACAAGCATAGGCATATTGCTTGGCAAATAATATAATACTTATTTAATGTATTGAAACTAGGGTACAGCCAGAATGTATGTGTGTATGTATAAAAAATAGTGAATCTTCGCCGCATCAACACTGAATCGCAATGATCAAAAACTAATCTTAAAAGCATATAACTATTCTCTCTCTCCCTATCTCTCTCTCTCTCTCTATTTCTTCTATATATATATTCTTTTTTCATTTATTTTGTAAGCGTTTTTTCTTATGTTTGTTCCGACCAAACGACTTGGTTCTTTTGACTCGCCAATCGAAAATTGACATCGATCAAGAGATGCCCTATATAGAGAGTATTGACCAACCGCTACTACCCACCAAGATACAACAACAACCGAGTTACATTTACTTGCTTTTAACAACATTTCTTGCCGATTTCAACGTCTACGTCGCGGTTCCCGCACCCTGAGCTGCGTTGTCTTCGTCTTCGCCTTCGTCTTCATACAATGTGCTGCAACAACGCGTTGGACTGATCGATTACTATACTTGAAATACCGCAGAATAATTGAAATATAACATTATAGTTGGGCGCGTGACTTGAAATGTCTGAATTTGCACACAAGTCGTGAGTGCTACCACACTACCTATAAATCTTACACGCGCCCATCCTTAACACACAATTCAATCATTGCAATAATGCATTGCTAGATTTTTTAGCAAATTAACAAATCCAACGTCCGATAGTTTAAAGGCTTCAATATATTTAGTGCTCAAGTGTCTAAATATTTACATGTATTATTTCACAGATCTAAACGATTTTTAATGTTGTAGATTTTTATTTAGTTAGCACAAGTAAAAAGAAACGCAAAGAAAAAAAAAAGAACAGTACATCAAAATATTTACAGTAATATATAAATAGTATGACTACACACACATATTGAAAAACATACACACATGATTAAGGTACGGCGGAAAAACTTAACCAACTTAAAAACATATTGTTGCTCTTATTATCGTTTCAGCGTCTTGTTTTTCTTTTTATTTTTCTCTTTTTTATCACTGAGCAATGTAATGTGTGACCATTCAAGTCAATATACCACGCCCCCAACTCATGGAAACCGTATCGAAACGCACATATCTAAGGTCGCTTATAATTTCTATTTTTACAAATACATTTACAGGAATTGTGCACACCGTTAAGTTCAGCTAGCCAACACCAACGACCTATATATATTAACTGGGTTTGCATTTTGAATCCAAATATTTTTTTTTTGGTCTTAGTGGAATTTTTCAGTGTGCACAGCTCTTAGTATTTTCTTCTTTGGTTTCGATTTGTGCGGTGACGATTTGCCGGCTGGATGTCCGTTGGAAGAGTTTAATTATTTAGATTGATATACTCGATATAACTGCATTTATCTCTTAATTACCATTACACAGACACAAACACTGTTGTATTTAGCCTACGTATATCTAAAATTCTTTAACCTAGTCTAATTTATGTTTAAATTTTACGGGTGCTTTCTTTTTATTCTTGCATTTTCCAGCCTTTGCGAATGAGAAATCAAATGCCTTGCTATCTGTCAGACACTATTACGCAAATCCAAATCATCTCTTTTTTTTTATCAAGCAAACTTAACAAAAATTAATTGAAAGAATATTTATAATTGTGATGCAAAAGATGACCGATAACGTAATGCATCGATAGCTTTTAACTGTCATTGTGTTGTAGCCTCTCGATTGAATCTGTGTGACTGAATCATCTGCCGGTCGGCAAATGGCCCGCGTACAAGCAGTTCCAGACAGGTCTTCCCCAAAACACAGTTACATCTATATATGCATATATAAAAACTATATATGTATGTACAGTTCGCCGGCCAGCAAAAGTTTTTATAATTAATAATTTTTTTTTCTCTATTTTTTCCTTTTTGTCTTTATCTTTCTTGCAGGCATCGGTTTTTGTTTCGTATCGCTTCAAACTGTTACTTTAGCAGCTATTGCTCAAGTTACACTTTGAAATCGACACAAAACTCATGAAAACAGAATTCAAATCAAACTAAACTAAAGAAAAGAAAAAAATTGCTTAAACGATCGCTTACCCCTGATCGGTTCACTGAATGAGCCCATTATCCAAACATCACATGAGATGCACTAACCTGTCTTCCCAAATTCTAGGCAAGTCGGCGGACACGAAAATTCCCTACCTTTCGCAGCCATTGTACGATCTGAAACAGACTGGCGATGTTAAATTTGGACCTGGGACACGATCCGCTCTGCTGGGGTTACTGGGAGGCGCTTTGCCCAAGCTGACATCGGAGCAACATGATCTGGTTAGCAAGGCCAAAAAGTATGCCATGGAGCAGAGTATTAAGATGGTGTTGATGAAGCAAACACTCGCTCATCAGCAACAACAATTGGCCACCCAGCGCACCCAGGTGCAAAGACAGCAGGCGCTAGCTTTGATGTGCAGGTAATTGAAGAAATATATAAACAAGTTTTGTCAATTAATAACTTTCATGATGCAAAATCTGGAGATTATTTAGTGAATAACTTCTTTGCGTATCCAGTGTTTCGCGTTACTGAAGCTGGAGCAACACATGTTGTTAACTGTGCAGCTTAGCTGATAAGATCTGATTTCAAGTGTATCACAAAGCTAGGCCTTAGCTCCATTCTGCCTTCTATTGACATCTACTTGCTTTCAGAGTCTACGTGGGCAGCATTTCTTTCGAGCTCAAGGAGGACACAATTCGAGCCGCCTTTACACCCTTTGGACCCATAAAATCCATAAACATGTCCTGGGATCCCATTACACAAAAGCACAAAGGCTTTGCATTTGTTGAGTACGAAATACCAGAAGGAGCGCAATTGGCGCTGGAGCAAATGAATGGCGCTCTGATGGGTGGCCGAAACATCAAGGTGGGTCGGCCAAGCAATATGCCACAGGCACAACAGGTTATCGATGAGGTACAAGAGGAGGCCAAGAGTTTCAATCGCATCTATGTGGCATCTATTCACCCAGATCTGTCGGAGGAAGACATAAAGAGCGTATTTGAGGCATTCGGACCTATTCTCTATTGTAAGCTAGCTCAAGGCACATCTGTGCACACGCATAAGGGCTACGGCTTTATCGAGTATGCTAACAAACAGGCCATGGACGAGGCCATTGCCAGCATGAATCTCTTCGATTTGGGCGGACAGTTGCTGCGGTAAGTTAAAACTATATATATAGCCTTAATGAGATTGTAATCTCTTGCAATTCTCTAGTGTTGGTCG